AGCTGGTATTCAGTCCCAAGGAGTTTGTGGCCCCACTAGGCCATAGTAAAAGTTTGTGGTTCATTAATGAAGATAAAGTATTCTAGAGCCAAACTCAGCTGACTGGAACACAACCAAGGACAGAAGTAACAGTGGTTGCATGTTTCCTTCCCTTTTCCCTTGAAAGGAGATAGATTGTTTTTTTATTCTGTTCAGGTTGCTATAGCAAAATATCATTGGCTGGCTGGCTTATAAACAAAAGAAATCTGTTTCTCATAGTTCTTGATGTTGGAAGTCCAAGATTAGGTGCCAGCATGTTGATTCATGACCCCTCTGCCAAGTGGCAGACATCTTATTGTGTCCTCAGTTGGTGGAAGGTGCTAGGGAGCTCTCTGGGGCCTCTTCTAGAAGGGCACAGATCCGCGCTTATGACCAAATCCCCTCCCAAAGGCCTCACTTCCAAATGCCATCATAATCAGGCACAAATTGAGGAGTAGGAGACACACACATTCAGACCGTAGCAATGATCCTTTCTGATTTCTTTTGAGAGGCTGTAGTCTGGAGCTGAGCTGAGACTAGGGTCCTTTCTTTGTAACTCCCTAACCTCACTTTTTATTTCATTATCAACCAAGGACACTTTGAGTAATGCAAGGTCTCCTGCCATGTAGTGTGAGCTCTGGAGTTGTGAACTTCCTAGATTGTTAGTATACCCCTCCATCATAGTTATTCCGACTTCAGTTCATCCTTCCCTTCCAGTCCTTCTCACTTTGCACTGGGTACCACCTCTGACTACTTGAGCACCTCCCACCATCCAGTGTCCATTGCCCCTCTTTCTTTTTTTTTTTTAAAGATTTATTTTTATTTATTTTATACAAGCACTGGGTACAGTCAGAAGCGTGGGAGGGTGAGAGAATTCACCAGAGCCAGAGCGGGGAGCAGAGCAGGCAGAAGAACCGAATTACACTGCTGAGGGGAGCAGCGGGCGGCAGGAGAGGTCTGAGCGCCATGTGGGAACCTCCTCTGGTGGCCGGGGAGCAGCTGGGGATCGAACCGGCGCTGCAGAGGCTGCGGGCAGCTTCGCAACCCAGCGCTCAACCGCTGCGCCACCGGGGAGGCCCTGCCCCTCTTTCTTCATCTGCTTCCCTCTCCAGTGACTCCTTCCCTCAGTCAATAAATTTACTCAAGTCTCTCCCATTCTTATGGTTAATTCTGTCAATACCACCCTTGAATGATGGCTTCTCTCTCTCCACCCATTCACTCTTCTTGAAAGAGTTTGGTAGCCTAAAGGTTTGCAAAGTGGGGTGCGCAAGATCTTCCACTAGGGTACTTGAAGAAAATGTTAGCATTGCTATGCATCTTGGAATTTCATCATTTTATTTTTCCATGTTGGTAGTTTAGAACATATTTGTATCTATTTATTTTATAATGTAGTTATACGTGTATATCATTTACCTTTAAACTCTTGTTTTCTCTAGCCTCCTTGATTCGGACATACATTCCCACTAGCTTCTTCTGCGCATCTCTGCCAGACTGTCACACTGGCCTCACAAAATCAGCATGGCCAAAGTCTCTTTTCTTGTGTCCCACCTCTTCTAGTTTGCTTCCTTGACTACAGGCCCCTAGCATGGGGAGATGCCACCAGTCACCTAGGTTGTCAGCCTGGGGCTCTTTGAATTCTTTCTGCCTCCTAGTCCTGTGTATGCCCTATCTGATCTATTACAGTTGCCTCTTGAACGTCACAGGTTACAACTGCCCAGGTCCATTTATACTCAGATTTTCTTGTGAAGAGATGACACAAACTGAAAGCATTGATAAATACAGTACAGTGCCATGTTTCTCTTCCTTATGATTTTCTTAATAACATCTTTTCTCTAGCTTACATTATTGTAAGGATACAGTATATAATGTATATAACTTATAACATATATATTAATTGACTGTTCATGTTATTGGTTAGGCTTCCCATCAACAGCAGCCTATTAGTAGTTAAGTTTTAGGGAGTTGAAAGGTGTCTGTGGATTTTTGACTGTACGGGAGATTGGCACCCCTAACTCCCAAATTGTTTAAGGGTCAATGTATTTAGTTCTGGTGATTCAACTTCCTTACCTTCTCTCAAATCTGCTCACCCAGTCTTCTCTCACAGCCTCGGCATTAATCCTCACATAGACATTGCTATTGCTAGTTCCTAAATGCCTTCGCTACCTCCATTAGCACCCTCTACACACAGCCAACAGCAGGAGCTCTGCACAACTGCACATTATATAGGTCTCTGTCTTACTTTCAAAGAAAAATCAAACCAACACTTGATCTATAAGACTTTCCATGGTCTTTGCTGCACTGTTTTTATCCCTTTATCTGTTAAAAAAAAAGTCTAGCTCAGCTAGACTTTGAGCTCTAGTAGGATAGGGACCGTGCCTCCCCATATATGAGAGCCAGGTACATTACCTGCCACTTGGAGTGTCTCAATGAGTGGTGTTTTCAAAATTGCATGGAGATGAGTTGGGAAACTAAATCCCCCTGTAGTCATCTGATCAATATACTGATAAGTAACTTAGGGCTGTGGGGCAGGATTTGATGCCACCGTTTCTTGCCAAAGAGCTCCTCCAGCTTTTGACCCAGAGAGATATGGCATTAAGTCTTGTTGGCTGGAATTGAAATCCTAGCCACTTACTGGCTAGATTGATGTTGGAGAGAAGATGATATTAACAGCATATATTTATTGAGTACATATTATATACCAGGACTGGGCAATAATTCTACGTGCATTATTTTGCCTAATTTTATCTTAATTTGTTGAGATAGGTACTATTATTCCCAATTTATAGATGGGCTAACTGTAGCTCACCAAGATTAAGTGATTTGCCTAAAGGTGTGTACCAAATAAATTATGGAATCAGAATTTCAGTCTTAGCAGCCTGACTCTAAGCCGGAAATATTAATTTGGGAGTCATCAGTATATGAGTAGATTTTAGAGCCTGAAACATGAATAAAGATATCTTTTGAGTGAGAGGCAATAGAGGACAAATAACTTGGTTATGGGCCCCTCCAATATTTCCAGGTAAGATACATAAGATCTGGCAAAGGAGGTTGAGAATATGAGTCATGTCCTAAAAGCCTAGTGCAGAAAGTGTTTTGAGGATGAGGAAATGATCAGCGGCATCCAGTATTGCTGATATGTCAAGTAAGATGAGGGCTGAAAGTTGACAAGGGCCAGCATATGAAGTTATACAGGTTGTTGACTGTCAATGCCCAAGGGAGTACTCATAGCCATAATCTCCCTGACACCCTGGCATAGGAATGACCTCATCTAATTAACCTCATCTAAACAAAAGGCAGCTACTTAAACTTCATACAGAGATGCCACATGGGCTAGCTTCCACCCTTGTTGCCCATTGGGATTATGAATGTGGAGGTCATTGGCCACCTCACTAAAAGCAACTGAGGGGGCATGATGGGTATAGCAATTTGATTGGAATGGATGGAAGAATAATTCAGTGGAGAAGAAATGATTGCAATGTATAAGGATAGTGATATTTTACCTGTTCACCTTCATGATGTTTTTGAGAGGGTTGGGTAGGTCAAGGAAGTGAGAACATTAGGAGAAGCACATATCAGTATCCAAATTTAAGATTGTAGGGTGATCCCAGACCACATGACTGTGAGCATCCAACATGGCCTCTCAGGCCCCCCAAAGCCAACCAGGATGGTGATGGCCATTGTCAGACCCATGACCTTTTCCAGCTAATTCCAGCATGATCTACAGAGACTCTTGTTATCTCATCTCTTTTTCTGAGATTTTATGTTTCCCCCGTGAGCATAAAATAACAGTCAAGCACCATTAGGATCAATAGGATATTTTCCTATATGGATCTTTATTTTCAAGAACCAGAGCCACTGTCACTGTCCAGAGTCCACAAGTCAACCCAGCTTCTATTCTGGGAGCTCTGCCATCTTTTGGTTTCAGCCCTTGACACAGGGCAAGCTTAGGCTCCTGTGCCTGGGGAACTAAGAACTGCCTCCTCTCATTAGCACGCAGCCTTGTTTCTGTACTTGCCTTGTAGGGAAGAGGGAGACAGCTGACCCTTCCCCTGGGTGTCCTTGTCTCCTGGGCTTCCCCGTGGGTATGTGTGTGTGTAGGACTGTGTAAGCTCCAGAGGCCAGGCCTCTTGCCAGCTGCCAAGGTTCTCTTTCCCAGAATTGGGTTAGCCCCCAACCATTTCCATTCTCAGCCTGCTGCCAAGTTCTGCAGCAGGGTCCCCATGCCAGGTGGAAAATGTGCTCTGCCTTGGTAATCCAGACCTTGCATTTTAACAGAGATAGGAAACAGGAGTGAGTGAGTAGGATTTTGGATGGATGGAGGGAGGGTAGGGAAGTGCTTTTTGGAAAACCGTGCTGGAATTGATTGGCCCAGCAGCTTGGTTTTCACCCCAAAGTAGGGCTCACTCTGGACTGACCCCAAATAGCCAATGGGGAAACTCTTTATTCTTGGATCTAGACCATACTAGACCTGACAATCATTTTTTTTTAATCTGGAAAGTGGGAATAATAAATCCTACCCCATATATTCTTCATGTCAAATGAGAAATAAGCTCTAAAATACACCCCTGCCTACTCACTGGGAACAGGAAGTGCAAGGTTGGGTTTCTTTAAGTATATTCTGCAGAATATGGAGTGTTATTTAAAATAAGGCAGTGGCTAAATAAGTTTGAGAAACACTACCTAAACATGTTACAAAGGTTTCTTTTTTATAGGTCCCACTCAGGCCTTAAATATACCACTAACATATATGGTGGAGCTGCAGGGGATGTACGTACTGTATGCAACACTTCTTCCACTTTTAATCACACTTTCTTAATGAGCTTTTTCTCTAGTGCCATTTCTGCAAAAAAAAAAAAACAACACTTTGGAAGATGCGGGTCTAGGTCATAAGTATTTTAAGTATATTCATTTCGGTCTTTTGTTCTGTAATTGAAATGAGTGCTTCCTGCTCTGAAACACCTCTCTCCCTCTCATCCTTACAGCTCCCCTTTGAACTGGAGATTTACTACATTCAGCATGTTATGCTCTACGTGGTACCCATCTACCTGCTTTGGAAAGGAGGTAAGGCCACCAAACCACACCTAGCAATTCCCTTATGTTTTGGGGAATCATAAGCTCTTAGATCCTAACTGGGATCTTGAGCTGCTGGCTGCCCGGGTTTCTGCAGCAGGCTTTCGGTCAGACACCAGGCAGTAGGGAAATGAGCATGGGCATTGTCAGACCCATGACCTTTTCCAGCTAATTCCAGCATGATCTACAGAGACTCTTATTATCTCTTTTTCTGAGATTTTATGTTTCCCCCGTGAGCATAAAATAATAGTCGAGCACCATTAGGATCAATAGGAAATTTTCCTATATGGATCTTTATTTTCGAGAACCAGAGCCACTGTCACTGTCCAGAGTCCACAAGTCAACCCAGCTTCCATTCTGGGAGTTCTGCCATCTTTGGTTTCAGCCCTTGACACAGGGCAAGCTTGGGCTCCTGTGTCTGGGGAACCAAGAACTGCCTCCTCTCATTAGCACACAGCCAGAAAAGGGTCTGGAACCTTTTCTGAACCGTCCTTTGTGGGTGAGCATGGTGCCACTGCCTGCCTATCCCCACAGCCTAGGTCTTGGGCTCTTCTTTGCCCATGGTAGCCTTGGTTTTACACAGAGCCCCCCACACTGTCACACGCTTATACCTTCCCCCACAGCACGTGCAATGTAAGGTAGGAGAGTAGGTGGTACTCAGAGAGGGACCTTGTGCTCTGTTCATATTTCCATCCTCTCAGAAGCAAAGATACTGAAAGGGGCCCTTGAGCCCACTGAAAGATGCTTTGAAAGTTGTACTGTCTTTAACTCAGGAATGCTGGCAAAGCTTAAGAACTTCCAGCATGACATAGCCTCAAGGACCAGCCAGGCCAGGACAAGCTGGCCTGTTGCTCTCTATGAAGTTGGACCAGTTGAAAGATTTGTTCTCCGTGCCCTAGTTTCTATCAGTTAGGGTTCAGAACTTTGATTCTTTCAGGCTGTTTTTACCCCGTACAGCCACTTGGGGTCTCCACTGTCAAAGAGCACTTCTTTACAGTTTGCTCTAAATAGACTGTTTTCCCGAGTGACTGTTAAGGGAAGGAAGTCAGAAGTTCCAACATTCAGAAGGTGTGTGAATTTCTCAGGTCTGTCCCTTGTGGCACAGGAAACAGCTCCCTAATAATAGTCACATCTCAGAGATGATACATATCTCTGGAACCAGGCAGGCAGCTGTCCCAGAGCCCCAGAGGCCCACTACTTATGGTTCTTGCTTTCTGAGGTGTTTGATACATGTTCTGGCCAGATACACATGATTAGTAAATTGAACTTTTTTTGCTCATAGAAATCTGTCAGGTAGCTCAGCTACACTAGTCTGGCATGGAAAATACCAAATAGCCATTCTTCGTCTGTACCCCCCACCCTAAAAAACACACACAACCTGGGAAACTGCATCTTCTAGAAATGGATGCTTCCTGGCTAGGGAAATGGGCTGAGAAGGTGGGGGGTTGCAAATGTTAATCCTAATTTATTTCTGATGCTTAGTGATTGTTCCCTCTCTCCTCTGGAGCTTAGTCCTGAGAAGATGCAATAATCGTCCTAGCAGAAATAATGGCCACAGTAAATAGCGATGGCTACTTTTTATTGAGCATTTCCTGTTTGTGAGATATTCTGCTAAGCGTGTTTATTTCATCCCAAGTAACCTGGTGGAAAATCCTTCTTCTGTAGAGGAGAAAATATTAGGTACCTTGCTCACAACCATACGTAACAGAGTCAGGATTCACAGTCCAGCCTAGACTCCCTCCCAAACCAGTGCTCCTTCCATCATCCCCTGTTGTCCTAAAAGACAGCCGTCTGTCTCCTAACCACATCAGGGTCAGAGTCTCCCCTCCACCTCCACCCCTATTTAGCCATTCACTCAACACATATTTACTGAATGCCCAGCCCTGGCATGAACGTCAGAGCTGGGCCAGTCCTTCCACAAGAGTTCCTGTCTAAGGGGAAAGATAGAGAATTGTAACACAAGGTGATAAGTGTGACAGAGGAGTTTGATTTCCAACACCTGTTTTGCCTTCTCTCCTTCACCCTTCTAGGCTTTCTGGAGATCTAGGCTTCATTTCCGGTTCTTTGCTACCATCTGCTGTTTACTTTGGGGAATGATGAGAGATTCTGAATTTCCTAAGTCTAGTTTCACCTGCAGTGGCAAGCCTGGGATCTAGGCTTTGCAAAGGTGGAATATATCTGGAGTCAGCAGTGGGAAGACTATTTATTCCCTGTAAACTAAACATGTTGAGAGTTTGGGTCTTTCTTCCCCTGAAAGCTCTTATAGTTTTTTCAGAAATAAATGCCTCAGGAATTTCTATCCAAGGCAAGATAGGTGTGCCATAGATACTCCCGTGTCCAGGAACATTGTTCGCCTGAAAGTCAAGTCCTGCTTCTTCTGATTTGCAGGGGTCTGGGGGGTGCTTAGGGGAATCCCATTTCTCACTGGCTCTGCTGACCTTCAGCGCCAGCAAAGAACACGCGACCTCCGTTGTCCGCACTGCTGCACTGGAACACTGTCTATTTCTGTTTCCTTTCCTCCAAACCTTGCCTTTGGCCCTCTGAACAACGTGTTTTCTAAGCCCCCACCCTCTTCTTCACAAAACACAAAGTCCTTCTATCTCCTCTCAGAAGCTCTCTTCCCGCCCAGCCCATCTGCTGCCTGGCTCCCACTGTCTCTTCCAGGCCATTATTTCATCTCTACCTTATGTGAAAATGCTTTGTCCTTAGCATTCTCTCTCCCTGAGAGACTCCCAGCAAGGATCACTCATCCCACCCCCAACGTGTGGGCTTCTTAATGGCAGTGACATCTATATCCCCTTCAGCCACCTGGACCTTGTCTTCCCCCAGGTGTCCTCTTTGTGAGATCATAAGCCTCGTTCCCTTTCTGTGATCCAAATGTCCACTCCTCCCCCCGCCCCCAATCAGCCTGTACTACTGTGACCAATTCTTGGAACTTTCCTTTCACCAGCTTCTGAGAGTGTCTCACTCATCCCTTCTGACGGGATCAGTGTTCATTCTCAGTACCCAATCTTGGCCTACTGGAGAAAATCTCTCAACTTACTCAGATCTGAGCCACTAAACTGTCATGGTCTCTTTTATAACTGTGCTTTTTTCCCCCTCAATTATTTCCAGTCTTTCATCAGTTCCTCTACACATGGCCCTCACAAGTCACATGCAAACCCTTTACTGCCTGCCTCAAACTTCCTGTCCAGTTTATTCATACTTCCTGTTCTCTCCACTTCTAATAGATGTCCCTCAACAAATGACTGAGAAAATAGAGATTTTCAGGCCTCCCCGGTGGCGCAGCGGTTGAGCACTGGGTTGTGAAGCTCCCCGCAGCCTCTGCGGCGCCGGTTCGATCCCCGGCTGCTCCCCGGCCACCGGAGGAGGGTCCCACATGGCGCGCAGACCTCTCCTGCCGCCCGCTGCTCCCCTCAGCAGTGTACTTAGGTCCTTCTGCCTGCTCTGCTCCCCGCTCTGGCTCTGGTGAATTCTCTCACCCTCCCGCGCTTCTGACTGTGCCCAGTGCTTGTATAAATAAACAAACAAACAAACAAACAAATAAATAAATAAATACATCTTTAAAAAAAAAAAAAGAAAAGAAAATAGAGATTTTCAGATGGGAATTCCCTCAACGGCTTCTGTCCACTCTACAAGCCATCCTTGTATCCTCCCTGCCATCTTGGAGGAAGTGATATTCCTCCTGAATGAGGCCAACCACACCCTGGTGTGTACCTCTTATGCCTTCCTCCTCTACTGGAACCTCATTCCATCAATTAGTTCCTTGTGTAACAGGATTTTCAGCCCTTTCTTCATGACTAACTTTTTAGCCAATAAGGATGCTGAAGTCTTTCCCATTCTGAAGCACTTTCTCTCAACCCCATATTACCCTATCTTTCATCTTCCCTTCATAGCTAAGTATATTAAAAGAATAACCTAGACAGTGTTTCTTAAACCTCAGTTCTTTCAACATGACAATTTTGTCCTTATCTATGTAAGCACACGTTATTATGTATGTCTTACATGTCCTTAAATCTAGTAATTTTTTTTCCTAAAATATATTTGTTGTTAAGAGGAACTTTACTTGTGAAATTCTAGATTCAGTGGTTACCTGTTTGAATACTCTTTAAATACATAACTTATAAAAAACAAAAAAACTTTATAAAAAAAAGTGTTTACCACTTATCTACACTGAAGAGCTGTAGACACTTATCTACAACTGAAGAGCTCGTCTTCCCACTTAGCTTTCATTTGTCAGAACATTGCCATCTGATACCTTCCTCACCTACCCCTCTTCTAAAGATTTCCACCTGACCAATCTAATGACCATCTCAGACTGTGTCCTGCTGGAGCTCTCTACTGTGTTGGAATTGTTGGTCACTCGTTTTTGGAATGTTCTATCAGAGCTTCCAAAATCTCCTCCTCTCCTGGCTTACCCTACCTCACTGACCCTACCTGCCCATGCCTCCTTTACGATTTATTTTTTCTCTATCCTCTGAGAAGTTGATTTCTCCAGAGTTTTGTCTGGACTCATTTCACACACTCTGACTCCCTGATATATAGTCTCATGTGCTTTCACACCTTAGCCACCAGTCTGTGTAGTGATGCCTCCCACATCTACATCTGCAGGCCAGACTTACGAGGCTCAGTTTCATATCCATCCCTTACCATAGTCATCTGAATATCCCAGAGCACACCTCAGGTTCTCCTGCCCATGCTTGACAGTCAATTTCCTCATCAGCCCTGCTTTTCCTTGTGGCTCTTTCCAAGTAGCACCACCCAGTTACCCCAGGCTGGAAGCTGGGATTCATTGCTATCCTTGCTTCTGATTTATTCACTCATCTAACTCGTATGTCTTGTTATTTCGTGCTGGTATAACAAAACACCACTGACTGGGTGACTTATAAATAACAGACGTACAGTTGGGGGCCTGGGAAGTATGTGAGCCAAGTGGCAGCATGGTCACCTACTGGTGAGGGCCTTCCTTCTGGTTCACAGGTGACATCTTC